GCACTAAACATTGACGACACCAAACAAAGGAACTGAGAAAACACAGGCTTAAATACCAGAGGAACATAAATTACTTGATACAGGACAGGAGTGAAAGACTTAGCAAACGAGGAAACTAACTAGGAAATCAGGCAGGAAAAACGGGAACAGAACAAAACCAAAACAGGCTACATGTGACAGCATTTCCAGGTCATATATATATATATATATATATATATATATATATATATATATATATATATATATATATATATATATATACACTCACCGGCCACTTTATTAGGTACACCTGTCCAACTGCTCGTTAACACTTAATTTCTAAGCAGCCAATCACATGGCGGCAACTCAGTGCATTTAGGCATGTAGACATGGTCAAGACAATCTCCTGCAGTTCAAACCGAGCATCAGTATGGGGAAGAAAGGTGATTTGAGTGACTTTGAACGTGGCATGATTGTTGGTGCCAGAAGGGCTGGTCTGAGTATTTCAGAAACTGCTAATCTACTGGGATTTTCACGCACAACCATCTCTAGGGTTTACAGAGAATGGTCCGAAAAAGAAAAAACATCCAGTGAGCGGCAGTTCTGTGGGCGGAAATGCCTTGTTGATGCCAGAGGTCAGAGGAGAATGGCCAGACTGGTTCGAGCTGATAGAAGGGCAACAGTGACTGAAATAACCACTCGTTACAACCGAGGTATGCAGCAAAGCATTTGTGAAGCCACAACACGCACAACCTTGAGGCGGATGGGCTACAACAGCAGAAGACTCCACCGGGTACCACTCATCTCCACTACAAATAGGAAAAAGAGGCTACAATTTGCAAGAGCTCTCCAAAATTGAACAGTTGAAGACTGGAAAAATGTTGCCTGGTCTGATGAGTCTCGATTTCTGTTGAGACATTCAGATGTTAGAGTCAGAATTTGGCGTAAACAGAATGAGAACATGGAACCATCATGCCTTGTTACCACTGTGCAGGCTGGTGGTGGTGGTGTAATGGTGTGGGGGATGTTTTCCTGGCACACTTTAGGCCCCTTAGTGCCAATTGGGCATCGTTTAAATGCCACGGCCTACCTGAGCATTGTTTCTGACCATGTCCATCCCTTTATGGCCACCATGTACCCATCCTCTGATGGCTACTTCCACCATGTCACAAAGCTCTAATCATTTCAAATTGGTTTCTTGAACATGACAATGAGTTCACTGTACTAAAATGGCCTCCACAGTCACCAGATCTCAACCCAATAGAGCATCTTTGGGATGTGGTGGAACGGGAGATTCGCATCATGGATGTGCAGCCGACAAATCTGCGGCAACTGTGTGATGCCATCATGTCAATATGGACCAAACTCCCTGAGGAATGCTTCCAGCACCTTGTTGAATCTATGCCACGAAGAATTGAGGCAGTTCTGAAGGCAAAAGGGGGTCCAACCCGTTACTAGCATGGGGTACCTAATAAAGTGGCCGGTGAGTGTATATTATTAACAAGAAAAACAATAATATTAATTTATTTTGAATAAGAATAAGAATCTTTATTGTTATTGTATGCATGCACACAGTAGTACACATCAACAAAATGGAGTTATAAGCTCTAAAAAAGACGCATAAAACAATAAGTAATAATAAATAACTAAATAGACAATTTTTTATATTATAATATAATTTATATAAATAGGTTTCTTTATACCATGATTTTTTTTTTTGCTTTGGGCATTAATTGAATGACAATTAAGGACATATTTCCAGGTCATCGAATTTAAAAACAAACAAATAAATATGATGTATAAATTCAATACAATTTAAATCATACGTTAATCTTTTTTCTTGTTGCATTTTGTTAATAATAATGATAAAAATAGTTACAATGTAAAACATTTTTATTGGTCCTAAAATAAGCTTTGTTTTCATTCTGGAAAATACAACTTTATTTATTTTTGGGATTTAAAAAAACAACAACCCATACATGTTCTTGACTGATTTTGTGAGATTCACAGAACACACAGCTCATCAAACTGGAAATGACGTTCCAGCAAACGGTGCAATCAGGCAGAATGTCAAATCAGACGAACTCCATACTGCGTGGGACATCACGGCTGCCGTGGCATGAGAGTTGCCATAGTGACGCTGTCATTGCTACCCTCATGGCACGCGCTGGCTAACTGCGTCGATGATCACTTTAAGAACTCATTTTTATCTCAGCAGTCTTGGCAAGATGTTGACGTTCGCCATTTTACAGGACGTACAAGAGACAGCGCTTACAAAAACACCACAGAAATATCATCAATGCATTGGGCACGGTAAACCCATGGTATTCCTTAAAAACTTGGGAGAACTTTGTAAAAACCATGGTACATGATACGATAATCAATGATCATTCAGTACCACAGTAAATATCAAAAACCCATCTGAAACCATTGTACCTCCACAGTACTTTTGTACCAGCTCATGCTATATTTAATACTCCAACAGCCTGTTCTGGAAAAGGTCAGCAGGAGGTCAAGGGGCAACTGGTGAGCCTGGTTACACACACTCACTGCATGAAGCTCTTCACATTCACCCTAAAACTATTTAAAACAGTTCAGACCTTTGATAAAATTCCAAAGGAGCTTCATGTATAGTCGGAAGTGTATTTTTAAGAGTGATTGTTGTGATCCGCTGATGTTAAATACAAATCAATGCAATTATAAATATGCACAGAATATCTATTGATTTTGTGCACAGTATGCATCATGCATAATGAGACTATAAGCTTTAATCACTAGCTACATGACTTCAGTGCAGTTACAACTACTCCAGCCGAATCAGGCTATTGTAGGAATCAACAGATTTAGGAGAATCAAAGCAGATGCTGAATCCTCAGAATTTCTCTCCGATGATATCTCAATGTCTCTCGCCCCTTTCCTGTCCAACTGATTTAATTGGCCACAGACCAGCCAATGGTCAGGGCTCACTGACCTGCGGTGTGTTATTAGTGACTGAGCAGATGGGCTACAATAGTTTAGCTCTCCTTCAAACCCTCTTGAGGTCAAAACTGCTTCTTGAGAAAACAGCAATGCAGACATTCACCTGTAGCAGGAGGCAAGACTTTCACAATTATGGAGACAGTTTCACTGAAGATCTTACAGGGAGAGTTCACCCAAAAATGAAAGTTGTAAATGTCACCATTTAAAAATATGTTTTTTTTTTTTTTTTACAGTTTTTTCCCCATACAATGAAAGTCAAGTGGGTTCAAAACACCACTAGACCCCAATGAATTTTATAGCATGGGCATGTTAACCCCCACCAACAACCACAAAAAGCCACATGACACGCTGTTTATCAACGGTGACAAATTCCCCAATCCCCGCAGTCATCTTGCACACTTTTCATGCTCTGCGGAGGAAAACAAAGGCCCTGTCAATCACTTCTCGGCCGACAAAGACAGATCTTCAGTGTGTGTGGGGGGAGACGGGTGTCAGACACCTGCCCAGATCCAAGGGGAGAAAAGAACCGTCTGGAAACAGAACCGTGACAGCAGCAGAAACCCCGTCACCGATGAGCAGAGCACGTCAACTACACCAGCATCTGATTCCACGGCTGCCTGATGCCAGTTGATGCCCAATTTCCACTCATAGGGTGCCGGTGCCCGAGCAGTCAGTCTAAAACTAATTAATAATATTCAAATTTCATACATGTGAATGAATTGCTCAGAATTATTGTTTATTGTAATTTGTTTAAACAATGCTTGCTGCGTCAAAAGCAACTCACCACCATATTAAAAAGATGGGTCACTAGTCTAGTCTAAAATAAAATATTAGGCAGCACAAATGTTTTTATCATTGATAATAATAATAAATGTTTCCTGAGCAGCAAATAAGCATTTTAGAATGATTTCCGAAGGATCATGTGACACTGAAGACTGGAGTAATGATGCTGAAAATTCAGCTTTGCCATCATAGGAATAAAATAAATATATATATACTTACTGAGCCTTTTTCAATGGTAGTGTATATTTAAATAATATCAAATAATATGTAATAATTCATAATTATATATTTAAATATAGTTGATAATACATATTAAAATAAATATACAAAAGCAACTTGTGCTATCAAAAATACGCTTAATTAAATTATTTTGGATTAGGGATGGGTCACACTGCTTCACTATTCTACTGATCGTCCAACTACCAACTAATCGAATATCAAGGTTAATTTACTTAAATGTATCGATTAGTTAATTGAATGGTCATTCAGGTAACCCTGACTAGTTGCCTTTACACGTCCTTACTTTGGATGTTAAAATATGTTCTCAAAACTTGTAAACAAAGACAGTAATCTAGTCAGTTCGTCTAAGTCAGTGGAAACGTGGGCTGTTTCTGATAGACGTTATCAGATTCCCCGGCCGAGCACCATTTTTGGTGGAAAAGGGGTATGATTCCGATCTTCTGGCTAAATGACAGCTGTAGCTGCCAGCAGTTTCCTCTCCTCTGTCTCTCCACTTCCAGGCAGAACTCCAGAGCTCGGCTCAACCCACACGCTCCTCTGTTACCAGGGAGAGAGACGAGAAGCGCTCTGCCCGCAGCTGGAATTTGAGGGTCATTTCAAGAACACAACAATCTGTTAAGATAGACAATCGAAGCTCACACAGCGCGCACACACACACACACACACACGCTAAATCAATAGAAATGCAAACGCAGAAAGGAAGGTCATTCACCAATACTCTGCTGGAATGCATGTTGAGGACATTCTCATGCAGACCGGTGAAAATAAACAGGCTGATGTAAACATTCGCACGGCTTCATGCACCCTCTCCATACTAAACGCTGATGAAAACGCGCTCGGTCTCAAATCATCCCTGTGGACACGCACACAGTCCTCGAGCAAACTCTCACAGAAATCTCACTGGAACATGTGGAAAAAAAATCCTCAGAGTAAACAGAGCTGGGACGAGCTCCGCGAGATACGACCCTACAAAACACAAAAGCACATGCACAGAAATAGGGGTTGATGTTCTCACTTACGGAATACTCGATGGTGCCCTTCGGTCTCTGGAACGACATCCGCCTTCCATCCTTCTTCTCCGGCGTCTTCTTCTGCCCGGTATCTGAAAGCAAGCGAGGGAAGGTTCTCATTATGTTCATGTTCCGCTCTCCCCTCAGCTTGACACAAGCTGCCGAGCTCTCAGCCTCGACCGACGGCTCATCCGTCAACAGCGAGTGTGATCGAGCGATTCTGGTGAGCCAGTGAACACAGCGTTTCTCTCTCTCTGTCTACCCCTCCTTTCCCCGCTGTCTCTATCTCTCTCTTTCTCGCTCAACACAATGACAGCCGATGTGTCTTCACCTTGCAATGCCTCCTGCTGCTGCAAACACCGTAAAAGACAGAGACCACCCTGACCTCTATGAGAGAGAGAAAGAGACAGAGATGTAGTGATGCCACCCGACACTATCACATTTGTGTTGTGCTGTGATTCTGTGTGTCTTTGAAGCGAATTTGAATGCTTATGTAAAGCTAATAGAGATATGTTACGTATGGCACTGATTGAATTCAATTCAATACTGACATTAGTTAAGCTGGGATTTCAAAAGGCACACTCTACAAATATGGTGAAACTTTTAGAGGAATAGTTGTGAGAACTATTAGATATGTTAGGAAACTACCTAACATACGTTAACCTAGGCTACTATTCAAATGTTTGGGATTGCGAAGATGTAATGTTTCTGAAAGTCACTTCTGCTCACTAAGGCTGCGTTTATTTGAAATAAATTATAAATTATCTGAAATGTTATAACAATTTTAAAAAACTGTTTTCTAAAATGTAATTAATTGCTGTGATGGCAATCATTACTCCAGTCTTCAGTGTCACATGATCCTTCAGAAATCATTCTAATATGCTGCTCAAGAAACATTTATTATTATTACCAATATTGATTTTTGTAAACTGATACATTTTTCATGACTCAATATAAAGAACAGGATTTATTTGAAATAGATTTTTTTTGTATCATTATAAATGTCTTTTCTGGTGATCAATTTAATGCAGCCTTATTAAATAAAATAACTCATTTCTTTAAAACAAATCTTACTGACCCCAAACCTAAGATCACGTTAGCATAGATTAACATACTATTCCTTCCTTAAAATGAGGATTCAGAGGTCTAGACCTCCTTGATCTAAAGCAACAATTAAAAATACAACATTTATGTAATAAAAATCTATTATTAATTAGTAAATAATTGTATTCACCAAAACGTATACATGGTTGTATTTTGTTTGCGGCAATGTTACAGTATGATTTTCCCTCATAGTAAAACACGTAGCATTCCTCAAATTACGACTTCTAATAAACAACATCATCTGGACCTTTTCAACAGCATGATGGGTGACAAGAAAATAATCGCACAGCATTTACACCAAATTGCAGCTGATTGCATTCATCCAACTGTCAACCCTGGTACCCATGTTACTTTAAGAAGTAATGGTAGCCCTTTATTTTAAGGTGACATGCACTAACAACCTTAAAATAAAGTGTAACCAAAAAAAATAGCCAATTTTTTTTATGGGAATTATAAGTTTCCCCACTACAAACTATATAAATATTTAAAAAAGTAATTAAAAAACATAAATATATATATAAATAAATAAATAAAAATGAGCTAATGTTTCGGCTAATGACAAATTTCCCTCCTCAACTGAAAAGGATTGATAAAGGATCATTCAAATTAAGATTGCGTTTAATCTGAAACAAAAATGTATATCCAGTACTAAAAGCTAATGTGTTAGTATGCAGTCTCATGGGTGTGTGTGTCTCTGTGTGTATGTGTAGTTTTCAAAGTTATCACAGCAGTGTTGGCAAGTCCCCCACATGTTCACTTTGCTTAAGGCGGTCGGTCCGTCTCCAGAATCAGTCGACTAACAGGTTCCGCACTTGTGACAGTGTGACAGAGAGACTCTCGGCTGTGCAGCCATGAATCATAGTCTTCCTGCTATTTCTGTGCTCACACCAAAGAGACGGCAGCGAAAGAAACCAGGCCAGCGCAAGCACCGACACGAACGCTGATCTTTTATCCAGCGCTTTCACGCCACTGTTTGAGACTATAACCTGACAAACAGTTACAGTGGCTGATCTCTCTTTATTTACAGTATGTCGCCTCATAGATAGAGTTTTATTACTCAGAAACACATTGTCATGAACTCATGATATTTATAAAGCTGCTCTAAATTGATTCAAATGATTATTTTGAGATTTCCACATGCAAAGACAAACTACTATATAGCAAACACTACTATTACTATTGCCCTTTATTAGGCTTAGGAATTTGGGATGAGATGGGAACTGAAAGGAATTCAGCTATTTTCTTTCCTGTGTTGACATTTTAAATGAATCAGAAAGTCTGGGCAGAGCATAACTGAAGAGTTCTTCCTTTTAATAAAATAAATAAAATAAAATTGATATATAATAGCAACCATTTAGCAACGCCCTGCTAACCATCCTCAAAACTGTAAATCATGGTGATGAGCTTTGCATGGGCAAGAAAATAAGTAGTTCACTTTCAAATAAAAATGTCCTGATAATTTACTCACCCCCATGTCATCCAAATGTCCATGTCTTTCTTTCTTCAGTGGAAAATAAATTACGTTTTTTATTTGAGGAAAACATTCCAGGATTTTTCTCCATATAATGGACTTCAATGGCAACCAACGTTTGAAGGTTCAAATGTCAGTCTCCATGCAACTTCAAAGGCTCGACACGATCCCAGCCGGGAAATAAGGGTCTTATCTACCGAAACGATCGGTCATTTTCAAAAAATAAAAAATTATTATATACTTTAACCGCAAATGCCCGTCTTGTACTATCTCTGAGATGTGCCACGCATTATGTCATCACGTTGGAAAGGTCACGCGGACACCGGACATCGTTAAACATCCAGGATATGCACAAGTAAGGACCATTTTAAAGGGGTCATATAATGGTACATGCACTTTTACAAGTTGATTGTACTGAAATGTGTGTTGGCAGTGCCTGTACACAACCATCATAAAATGATAAAAATCCATCCAGTGTTTTTGTTTTAATCTCCTTATATGTTTTCCCCTGTCTCAAATCAAGCCGTTCGAGCGTGTGACATCACAAGGTCGCACGCCCCTCCCACGATTGTTGATTGACAGCGTTTCAACACAGACCTGCCCTCGCTCGTGAGCAGCTGTCAATCATAGTCCGCGCCGACCGGCGCAGTCATCGTTGATATGCTGGAGCACTGTCTATGAGCAGAATGGCGTCTAAGCGATTGTAGTGTTTTGTTCTTGGGTGTAATAACGAACACAGCAGTCATTTTAATGTTCCTAAATCCGAACCGCTGAAGACGCAGTGGCTGAGTTTGTTTTCGAAGGGAATATTCCCCACGAGCAACGACAATGCTTTCATGTTTGCGCGAATCATTTCTCACCAGACTGCTTTATAAACGAGGGTCAGTATAAAGCTGGTTTTGCTAAGAAGCTGCTCATGAAAAAAGGATCGGTACCAGCTATTCGTGTTCCTGCTGAACCTCTAGAACAACTGAAGTGAGTGTAACGTTTTATTAAACTTTATATTATTTAATATTTATATTAATCTTTGCAAATCGCTAGCTGCACGCTTCACAATGAATGCGTCTAAGGTTTACACTTAGGGTACATTACGGCATGTTTTCTATGTATGATGTTCTCAATATAATTCATAATCCCACGTTTATACTGAACAACGCCTTATGGTTATTGTGTTATTGTGTTACAAACGGTGTACGCACAGAACAGAGAGACGGGGTGAGCAAAGCTCATTATCATTTAAAGTCATATGCACTGAAACGGCGTGCTGAAAACAGAGCTGTTTTTGACCAGGTAAAATAAGTGTTTTCTTACAATACTAATGAGAATTTTTAATTAAAGTATATTACAAACTTTTAATTTAGACCCTAAAGAATCATACTAGCTTGTACAAAAATGGCATTATATGACCCCTTTAACCAATAAACTGACACAAATACATATAAATATGTGTCATTCAACATTCAAAAACGTTGGTCCTCCTACTCTAAACTTGTAAACACTGGGTTGGTACTTCCGACTACGTCGTGCTGACCTTTCCAAGGTAATGCGTGGCCCATCTCAGAGATAGTACAAGACGGGCATTTGTGGTTAAAAAGTATATAATTATTAAAAATTTTTTTAGAGAATGGTAGATAAGACCCTTATTTCTCGACTGGGATCGTGTCGAGCCTTTGAAGCTGCATTGAGACTGACATTTGAACCTTCAAACCGTTGGTTGCCATTGAAGTCCATTATATGGAGAAAAATCCTGGAATGTTTCCCTCAAAAACCTTCATTTCTTTTCGACTGAAGAAAGAAAAACATGGACATCTTGGATGATATGGGGGTGAGTAAATTATCAGGAAATTTTTATTTGAAAGTGAACAACTCCTTTAACAGAAATATCCAAGCGGTTTCAAAGGATAATGCTCTGATTCCCATGTATAAAAACAAAACAAAATCTGTGTTCATTTAAATCTAAAATATTTACATGAATTCATTCTAGATTTGAGGACCTTTAGTAAATGGAGGATTTGGGGTTTAATTAATATCAGAATATTTACTACACCTCCCAATAATAAATAGCAAAAATATGCTAATGTCTATGTATTCCAGTACAACAGCATTGACCAAGGCATGAGTCAGAGACTCAGTGAGCAAACCCACAGCAGAGATAAGTTCCATGAAAAGCGGCAAAATTGTATGGAATTGAACCCTCACATGTGTGTATCGCCTGAAACAGGCTTTTCACACGCTGAGATAAGAGCTGCCACATCGAAACAAAACAAAGAGCCCAATGTGTGTCTGAAAGACACCAAATCCATCATCTTTGCGGTTCTGGAACATTCTGTGTGCAGCCAGTGTCCATCCACCATCAACTCTTTAATAAATATTCATTTGTTCTCAGTGCTTATGACACATTGGGTCTGTTCTAAAACCTAGTAAGCTGCATTGCTGCAGCATCCTAGCTCAAATGAAACCTTATAAGTCACTAATTTGGAATTAAATAGCACTTTTGGAACAGCCTTTGCATCGATG